TTTTGTCGATAAATGTATAAATAGATTTTTCCTTTTACTGAGAATTCCGGATGTACGCACGAGCATAACTAAATATTGGTGTTCGTTTTCCCTTACACCTGGTATACAAATATTCCAAAAGAGTATAGCTTGTAGGAATTATAGTTATAAAATTGATGGGATAATCATAATAAAAGACACAGCGAATATATACAAATGTAAAATCACTAAGATTTAATAATGTCTTTTCAGAGCTCATCGCGAAATTACACATCGAAATGAAATGGAATGATGACTTGAAGGATCAAAACAGTGAAGCTTTTAAAGAGTTATCCCGTGTGTTTAAAGAAGAGGTAAAGACTGGACATAGTAAATTTTTTTATAAAGAGGAAAACCCTTAGCTTGAATGAAACTTATAAAAGGTTGGTAGGAAAAATCATATTTTTGCTGTCATTGATTGAAGGAAAAGTTAACCTCGGAAACACAGATTTCTTAAGTTGCTTTTCGGATGTGCGCCTATTTCACCGGGAACCTGTCATTACAGCTTCAGGAAATATTGTGCGAAAGTAACTCAGTAAACAAATTAGTGTATTGTGGCATGAACTCTGAAAAGTAACCGATCGCGCGAGGCTGAACTGTGAAGTACTCGAAACCATATTAATACTGATAATATTTCAAATTAAATTTCAAATTTATATATCAGCGTAGACATGTCAGCATTTTTAATATTGTATGATGGATTTTATCACCCGTTGCTATGAGATTTAATTCCATCAAGAATTAATAGCTTTTATGTAAGTTTGGATTTTTGTGACTATGTTATAATTGGGAGCGGTTGCTTGTGGAGTGCTTAACGATGTAGGGAGTAACATCGTATCCCAAATCAATGAAATAATGGCAACAGTAACGTAATGACCACGCAGCGCACGTCGGCATCTTGCTTCTTCTGTTCGTCCGTCCGACTGTCTTTCGGTCTATCTGTCCGTCGGTCTCTCAGTCTGTCAGTCAGTCTGTCTGTCTGTCTGTCGGTCGGTCGGTCTGTTTGTTTGTTTGTTTGTTTGTTTGTTTGTTTGTCCCTATCAATAATGACAACTCTGCTGTTGGGTAGACGGATAAACAGGAAGACCGCTAGACAAACAAACAGAGAAACAGACAGACAGGTGGACAGACAGGTGGACAGACGACAGAATACTAATATAGGACGGAAGGAAGTCCGGATCCGATCTGGTCTATTTGCCATGCTCACGCACTTGGTGAGTGTGTAAAATACCTGTATATTAATGTATCCATTGACTACTTTGAAAGCTCCTTTTTATGTTTGATTTTACAGGTTCGTGAACAGTATGCCCAAGACGATAACTTTGTTGAGGTAGAAGTCTTATCTTTCAGGTAAGTGTATCCGAGATAACAAATTAAGTGCATTGTATATTTTTTGAGGTAAAAGGTAAGGTGAAGTTAGTATACGACCCAAGTGGCTTCAGGATCAATAGCATGAAGCGACGACCAGTATTTCTACTCTCCCGTAGATGAGGGGTGGCGAATGGTCAAATTTCACGGGTCTCGCAGTCTCGTTGTTTAGCGGTTTATGTACGTCTCACAGTATCGATTTTCATACGAAGCTCTCTCGGAATCTCTATTTTTGCAAGGCTATCGCATCGAAGTCCCGATACGTTTGTTTGTTTTTATAAATGACGTCTTCTCATCTCTTGATATTGAATTTCAATAAAGCAACTTTCAAATTTCCGAGAAAAAGTTAAACCTAACTTCTCCTAAATTGTCTGAATTCCACAAAAAGCTACAAAGCCTACCGCAACGTCATTTTGGCGCCAGAAAAAACATTTATCTTGTTCTAGTATATCTTAACGCAG